CTCTTGCCAGGGTGCTGATGCCCAACCAGACATTGATTTTTAATAATAATTGTTATTTTTGCAATTAATGGAGAGATAAAGCGGTTGTTGGGCAAATATCTGTCATAAGCTTGGTACAAGGGGTGAATGCCAGTCACTGATTCATAAGGTAAGGTAGCATATGCTTCAGCCCATTATTTGCCCTGGCAGAGGGAATGCATGATGGCTAAAATTGCCCCATGTGCCATTTTGTCATTTATCCTAAGAGTGTCCAAACCTGACTGTATATGTGTATTGAATGTACCAATGGATTCCTCATGTATATTTAGAAATATGTTTGGTTTCCCTTTCTGACATTTCCTGGGGGGTGGAAGAGGGAGAAGATATTGAGTTGAGGGGTAGAAATAGGTCTAACACATCCAATCCATACACTGAATACATTCTCACAGAGCGCTACGCCTGGAGTCAGGAAGATCTGAGTTGAAATCCAGCCTCAGACATTTACTAGCTGTGTGACCCTGGTCAAGTCTTAACCCTGTTTACCTCAGTTTCCTCATATATAAAATGAATTGGAGAAGGAAATGGCAAGCCACTATACTATCTTTTGCCAAGAAAACCCCAAATGGAGTCATAGAATTGAAAACAACTAAAATGACTAAACAACAAAAAGTCTGTATGTACTGTATGAGAAGTATGATGTCATAGTTGATAGAGGCTAGCCTTGGAGTCAGGAAGACCAAGACTCAAGTCCCGCTTCCCTTAACTACTGGCTGTGTGACCCTAGGTAAGTCACTTGACTTTTCGATGACCCAAACAATTTAAGACTATAAATTATGGATGAACTCTTAATCTCTAACACTGGAGGGAATTCCTTACACAAAAGACATCACAGGTTTAGCTATCTACCCCAACAACAACAATAAATTCACTCTATATTTCTCTTAATTTAATTGAAATGGTGCTTTATGGTGGATTAAGCATTCAGTTTGGAGTCAGGAAGCCTGGATTCAAGTCGCATCTCTTAACATTTTCTGAGCGATTTTGGGCATGTCACAACTTCTTTGGCCTCAGTTCTTCTCCTTTAAAATGGTCTTAAGTGATTTCACTTGAATAGATGAGGAAACTCCCTCTATCAGTGTAGATCAGCATCATCTCTGCAACTTATGGGCTTAGAGAGTTACTTAAGCTACAGAGATGTTAAATGTTTTCCCAAGGTCACCCAACACTGTGTTAGATGTAAAACTTGAACTCAGGTCTTCCTAGCTCCAAGGCCAGGTCCATATACACAGACTCAAGCTACTTGCCTCACAGGGTTATTGTGAAGAATATGTTTTATAAACTACATAGCATATAAATATTAGCTCCTGTTATTAGCATTATCACCCACATCGAATACAAGGCTTCTCTGACCAAGGACACAGGGGTCTTAAGAATTAAGTGAGAAATGAGCTTCCGATGCTTCTGGGTTTTTTCCAAGTTAGACCTGAGGCGAGCAGGGGAACTGAAAACTATTCCCTTACCTAAAGAAATGTCATTATCACAATATAGTTACTTTCTCCCAAAGAATACCTTCTCCTTCTCTTTGATGGGGAAGGGGAGAAATCAGAATCTCACACATGACTGATCAATGAGAAAACCAAAGTAAAACACTGGGTTCACAAAATGAGAAATATATCAATCTATGTGAATTAAAATACAAAGGAAAATCTAAAAATGTTTATATTTCATGTTTATATAATGATTGAAAATTTACAAAGCACTTTCTTTATCACAACCTTATGAGGTAAATAGTGTAAATATTATCATTCCCATTTTACAGATGAAGACATTGAGCCTCAGAGAAGTTGTATCTTGCCTATGATCACAACCAATAGAGCTAGGTTCAGAGCTAGTATTCAAATTCATCCTTTTCTACTTTCAAGACCAGTATTCTTTCCAGCATACCTACACACACAAACCTGCTCAACTATGTGGAGTAAATTTTAAAATCAATTAACTGAATAACTTTACTCATTAATTAGTTCATTTATATATATACATATGAAAATATATACAAGGTAAGGTTCTATAGGAGATACCAAAAAATAAAAAGTAAAAAAGATGCAATCTAAGAAATGAAATAACATATATATGATAAAAGACAGTGTATGATGGCAGTTCTCAAAGTATGGTCCTCAGATCCTGAAGGTCACCAAGACCCTTTCAGGGGGACCACAAAGCCAAAACTATTTTCATAATAATATTAAAACATTATTTTTCTATTAAAATGCCTCCCTTTATCAAATTGTGGGGGGAGGGTTGAATTTTCTTCCTATATTTCAACCAAAACAACGTATCATGACAGGAGCAGATATGAGAGTCTTCTATTAAGCCAAACACTAAAGAAATTTGTTAAAAATATGTAAAATAATGCTACTCTTCTTGCTAATTTTTTTGTGTTTTGGAAAATACATTTTCAAATAAAATGTTATGTTAACATATAATGACTTGTTTAAATGAATTAACAATTTTAAAATGTTATGTTTTAATTTTTAATAAAATAAATATTCATAGATATGACCAATATAAATAAAAGATCTTTGGGGTCTTCAGCAATTTTTAAGAGTACATAAAGTTATCCTGAAACCGAGAAGTTTGAGAACCATTCAGATATAACTACCATATAAATGATACTAAGAATAAGGACTACAGGAATCCATCAGAGCAAGAAATTATTTAATAGGGTAATCAGAAAGGCTTCACCATGGAGGTGGTGGGGAGTATGGTGTTCTGGACCTTATAGTATATGTAGGATGTTAATAACTTGAGAATAGAGCTGGAGTGGCCCAAGGAGGCAAGAATATTCCAGGTTTGGAGAATAACAAAGTATGGAGATGGTAATAACAGAATGGATTTTAAGTAACCATAAGTTGACCAATTTGCATAAGATAGTAGGAGCCTACATATAGCTTATAGTGATGCTGTGATGGGCCTTCAAGGCTACACCAGGAATTTTAATTTCATTTAGTCAAGGATTCAATTAACATTTATCAATTAACATTTATTTATGTGCGGAGTACTAAGGAAGAAACAAAGTTCATATGAGACATAGTCACTGTCCTCATGGAACTTTCAGTCTAGTACGGGGATTAGAGATAAACATACATATTTAGAATATAAATACTGCATAAGTACATTAGAGAGTTTCAAAATAAAGTATTATGTGAGGCCTGAGGAAGAATGTCATTAGGGATGAGGTTGGGGAAAGGTAATATTTGAGTTGGGCTTAAAGGATGGATAGAAATTCCACGGGTAAAGCAGGGAAGATATTCCAGACATAGGGAACACATTGGGGTGGGAGAGCACAAGGCATGTTCTGCAGGGACAGAGTAGTCCAATTTGGCTAGAGAATAGATTACATGTAGTGAGTAATTTGAGGCTGCCTTTATGAGGCAATCTTACAAATTCAATGCTACTCAATGCAGAGTATAAATATAACATGAGTGATTAGAGCCAAATTACCTGTGTATTACATAAAAATACAAGAGACAATATGTAAATATGTGGTATCCTGCCCTTCTGCAAATTTTTTAAAAATATTTCACAATATGGTTTTGTACCACATTACAAAGTTTCTGATGAATCTAATTTAGAACTCTTTTCAAAGTGGATGGTAGTGCCTTGTTTTAAAACTTCCAGAATGAAACAAATTGATATTCATAAGATAGCTCATGTATTATCAGCTTTGCGCCTCTCACTGAAGTAAATTTCAGTATATATCAATATTAGGTCCATTATTAGAAAAAAGCAGAAAAACCAAAAGATTAAATAAAGGCCTTTTTGGGGATTGTTTAAAATGTTTTTTTTGGATGATTCAAAATGCTTAAGCAAATGTCGTGTCTAAGAGCAAGTAGACCCTGAAAACACATGAAAATTCCTAGACTGGGACTTTCAGGTAACATCTTCTCATGAAACAACAATCAAGGCTACAATAAAACTTCAACAAGCCATGTCAACATCCATAGGAAACTGTGGCTTTTAGTACAGAAATCCCAAAACTTAATTAAATATCAGTCCCTTACTGTTAATGTTTACCTTTTTTATGTTTCTCTTGACTCATGTTTATATTTCAAAGTTTCTACTCTGCTCTGGTCTTTTCATCATGAATGCTTTGAAGTCCTCTATCTCATCCAAGATCCATTTTTTTCCTCTTATAGGATTATACTTAGTTTAGTGGGATAGATTATTCTTGGTTGTAAGCCTCTGTCTTATGCCTTCTGGAATATATCATATTACAAGCTTTCCTCTTCTTTAGCATGGTAGCTACAAAATTGTGTGTGATCCAGATTGTGAGTGCTTGGGGATAAATTACTGTTTAGTTGTGAAGGTTTTCTTGCTGTTAGTGCTTTTTAATTGAGGCAACCACTAAAAACTCAAGTAAATGCCCAAATTCAAGAAGCTGGTAATAAAAAGGAAGACATAAATGGAGGATAGCTTGAGGTAATGGCAGAATTAAGTGACATGTTTGTTTGTTCTCCACCCCACCAGGATTAGAGAAACCTATATATATTTAGAGTTCCTAAGAAAACAGTAAGAATACTGGGGAGAGGAAGAAGACTTTAGTGAAGGTTTATTAGAAATGTCTGTCCAGAGAATCTAAACTGGACAAAAATCATTACTCAAAGGAATAATCACAAAGTATTAGAGTCACAAAATCACAAAGTATTAGAGTCATAAAATCACAAAGTATTAGAGCTAAAAGGGACTTTCAACCTCATCTGGTCCAGTCCTTTCCTTTTACAGAGGAGAAAAACCAAGGTGGTAACAACCCCCTGGTGACAGATCTGTACCTTTCAACACAGGTCCAGAGGCTGGGGACAATTAATTCAATTAGTTCAAACAACTGAGTAGTAACCAATCAATTCACTCCACACAATGTGTAAACACAGTCAGTGCCAACCTATCACAAACACTGTGGGAATACCTGGAACTTCTATAAGGCTAAAAGCACTCAAACACTTATTACAGTGACAGATGGGAAGGAAGGAAGCTAGAGGCTGAGCTGTAATGCCTTTATAAGTAGATTAGAAGTGTCCAAGTCCCTTTTCTACCTTCTCCATTACCGACTTTATTTTTTCTTTCCACAGATCTTCTTGGTGCAGTGAAAAGGTAGGCCTCTTTTCATATCAAATTAGGATATTTAGCAGTCTCATTGGAAGGGGAAGAAAGGAATTGAGTGTATTTTTGCTCTTATTGTTCAAGTATAGATCTAAGGGTACTCATTAAAATAAGGCAGAAAATGTAGGTGGTTTTTTAAACATACTTTTGTTATATATTCTCTAAAATATTCTTATAGGTGATTTTCCCCTCTCATTTTTTTTTCTGGATTTGTCAGATCTATCTCTGTGGCCTATAATACCTAAAACCAAAATATCTGTTTTTAGAAACTTAAATGGTGACTGGTGTATCAACTGAATCATGTTATACATATCAAATATGTTTTATGCTGTAACTTCTCAAAATATTATTAATCCTGTCCTATATTTTCCCTGAAAAATCTTTTTCTAGTCAATGACATTTTTCTCTTGTTCTACAGTTTACAAAGTATTTTCCTTACAACAACCCTATGAAGTAGGCATTATAAACAGTATTACACCTATTTTATAGATGAGGAAATTGAGAGTCAAAGAAGTACACTAACCTGTCACATGACTTTGAAGTGGTCAAACTCAGGTATTTTGATTTCAAGTCCAGTATACTTTTCACTAGTAGACCATACTACCTAAAAATATTGATGGAAGACTGTAGTATTGAAATCCAAAATTTTGGATTTGTGAATCTTCTGATTATCAAAAATTCCATCATAAGATGATGAATTTTTGGTTATAAATAAAAAATGATTTTTAAATTAAATTTAATTTGTTGACTTGTTTTACTATGTTTGGCCATAGTAATAGAATCACATAATTGGACTTAATTCTTAGAAATCACTTCATCTAAATCCTCTCATTTAAAAATTTTTAATTTAAAAAAAATAAAGAATAAAAGCTATTTTCTCTATACCTCACCTAACCTCTCTTCCATTGAAAAAGAAAAAGAAAACCTTTGTAACAAATGTTGACAGTCAAAATAAATTCCCACATTGGCTATGTCTTATTCTGCATCCCAAGTCCATAGCCTCTCTGTCAAGTGGTATCTAGCCCCCTCATTTTAAGGATAAACAAAGTGAACCAAGTCAAAAAGTCTACAACATTGATTGCTAGAAGTCTCAAGCTTTCTAAGTTCCCAAATTTTAAGCATTTTTCTTTTACTTTTCCTTCCCCTTCATCCCCTGTATTCCATCTATCACCAAATCCCATTGACTATTTCTCCACAATGATTCTAGGATGCACTTCTTCATTTCAATTCCTATAGCATCCAGATTTTTTTTCACCTCTTCACTTTTCAAATATTCTACCAATCTAGATGATTTTCTACTGGCAATTGAATTCCTCTCCAATAAGTGTTAGAATAATCCTCCTAAAATAATGTTAGAGTGATATTATTTCCCTCCTCAAGAAATATTCAAAACGCTCAACCAGGTTTCCATTATTCCTGCTCCTGGAACAAAGAGGATTGCTGGAGAAAGTCACAGAATTACTCTGACTTAACCACTAAACATTCATGCCGTCTTTCTTACATGCAACCTGAATTTTCTTCAGCAATCCTTTCATTAACCTTGGTGTGTGCCTGCTCCACTGTACTGGAGCTCAGAATCTACAGCTAGTTTGCTAAGGTAGGTCTTGCTGCTGGCTTGCTGGAACGCTTCCTGTCCTAGACAGCACTCCCCTTTTACCCTAGTAAGTCAGACCTTTCCTACCTATTTTCCAAGTTTTTTGGGCTCAAAGATTGTTTCATCCCATCTTTTTGCTGGTTCTGCTGTTCCAGGATTTGTTTTTGGGGTGCTATTTTATGGTTGTTTGGATATGAATATGGGAGAGTTATGGCGATTTACTGTTTTCTCTGCCATCTTAGCTCTCAAAATCTCTTCAGTTTTCTTTCATTAATCTTTTACTGATCCCAATGTGTATATTCTAAATCCTCCCTTCCACCTACTAACTTCTCCAAACCCCTCAACTATCTCATTAATTGTGTCTTCTCATCACATTCTTGCTCCAGTCAAAGGGCTCTTTTGTGTTTCCTGCCCCTAACCCTACTCCTCAAGTAAATTGCTTATAGCCTTCTTTTACAATTGATATAGTTAAATGTTTTAATGCCTACCCTGTACCAGACCTCTGCCGTTCTCCTTGTTATTACCATGCACCAATCCTGATGCCAAAAATGCACTGACAACTTGAAGCCATCCCCTCCCAGAAACCTTTCTTTACTCTACTTGACTGATGACCCCTATACAGGGATTTCCCCTATACATGAATGTTCTCAGCTGTGTAATATTTATTTGCATGTGTTTTATAAAAGTATTCTTCAGTTGTTTCATGTGTATCTTCTCTTCCAAACTAGAATAGATAGTCCTAAAGAGTAAAGATCATACTTTTCCTCTCTGTTGTGTCCCATTAGTACCTAGCAAAGCAGCCGGTGCTCAGGAACTGTTTTATGTTGACTAATACTCCATCTTGCAGGTACAGTCTCCTGTAACTTGAAGCAGGATAACTGTTCCATTTCTTAGTTTCCTATATTTTATATTCAAACTTAACAGATATAAAACATCTATACTATAACCTAGCTTGCACCTACCCATTTTTCTAGACTTATTTCACATTAACACCCCCCTCCCCTTTAAGTGTTCTACATCCCAGTCATGTTAGCTTTCTGGCTATTCTCCAAATTAAATTGATCCTCCCTTCTTCATGCCTTTGCATAAGCTGCGCCATGCTGCGCCTCATGCTAGAGTCTTAGAATCCCTGGCTTCTTTGGAGGCTCAGCCCAGGTGCCACTTCCTATTTAAAATCTTCCCTGATCTCTCGCCCCTAACTGTTGGTACATTCTCTTCCCTCATATTACTTTGTATTTACTTATCTAAGTGTTGTATTTCCCCATTTCCCCACTCATCTCTGCAGGATGTAAAGCAACAGGGACTATTTCTTCTTTATTGTTGTCTCCAAAGCCTTTGTACATAGCAAATAATAAATGTTTGTGGAAATGAATTGAATCTCCCTCCATTCAAGTCACTGCGGCATGAAGTTACTGGGTTCTAGAACAGGGCTTCTTAAACTTTTTCTACTCAAGACCCCTTTTTGTCTTTTGGCAGCAACTGTTGGCATTGCATGGCCTAAAGGCATATGCAGTGCAAAGTGTGCATGTTGTGTGTTCAGAACCAAGGCTGCAGTGAAGTTGTGCAATGAAACACAGACAAGTGCTGCCAGAAACATCTCAGATTCATTACATTTTTATTTTGAATTAATTTTTGGTCACTGCATGTTCAGAAACTTTTTACTGTTGCCAAATTTTTCACAACCCCATTTGGGGTCTTGGCCCACACTTTAAGAAGCACTATTAGAAGAGGAAGAGACACACACACAAAAAAAGAGTAATGGAGAGAATCAGCTCCAGTAAACCCTGCCAGGAAGGAAAGACTGTACCTATCGGACCAGATACAGAGAGTAGGGGAAGGGAACCAGTATTTATTAAGCACCTATTTGTGCTAAGTGCTGGAATATAGAATCATAAATCTAGAGATAGGATATTAGATGTCATTCCAGTCCGACCTCATTTTACAGATGAGGAAACTGAGGCCCAGAGAGATTAAGTGATTTGTCCAAGGTCACATACAGTGTAGCACTTACTATTTGCCAGGCACTATACTGAGTGTTTTACAATTATTATCTCATTCAATCAACAACCTTAGGAAATAGGTGCTACTATTATCCCCATTTTACCGATGAGGAAACTGAGGCAAACAGAAATTAAGTGACTGGCCCAAGGTCACACAATTAAAAAGTATCTGAGGCCAGATTTGAACTAAGGTCTTCCTGACTCCAGGCCCAGTGGTCTGTCTACAGGCATAATTGCAACTGGAACTCCAGTTCCAGACTCCAAGTTCCCCAATCTTTCCACTGAGCAACTTTGTCTCCCAATCAAGATTTTACATATTAAATCATATTTTCCCCATGAGGCCCTTTATAAATTTATGGCCACATTTCTATGGAAAGTATTTTAGCCCCAGCACTAAGCTGTTGTTTTAATCACACTTCAGAAAGCTCACATGCATTTCTAGGACTGTTCTGCCTTAGTCAGAGGTATGCAATCTCTTTGGGCTAAAGTGTCCCATGTAGCTCTAGCAAGAAAAGACAGCCTAAAAGATTAATCTCCAAGTCTGTTTATACTCATTAAAATCCACCACAGCTAACTGCTATTTCATTTAGACTTTTTAAGGGCTCTGTGGCTCTGCCATTATCAAGGTGTTCAGCAGAACTCACTAGCTTCTCAATCTATATCTTCGGTAAAGCCTGTTGTGGTATGAAATCTTTAAGCTATGTACACTGGGTGGTTTTCACTTTAAGGACACCATCCTAGTAATTTGGTTACATAAAATCTAGCCTATACAGAGTCAGTTCCTGGAGTTTGGGACCAGGAGACCTTGGCTTTTTATCTTAATTTAACCAGCAATTATATCTTTTTTAAATCTTACTGTAAATCAAGTTGTTTTAATTGCATTTTATAGTATTTCGTTGTATTCTATCCTCTAAATTGAATCTCTAGATTGACCCCAAGATAGGCCTGGACCAGAACACTTTTTTTCCCTCATCTAAGTTGTAGGCCCACCTCCAGTAATCTACTGGGCATTTCTTTTCTTTTAATAGTAAACTTTCTATTTCTTATCTTTTCAACGGAGAAGGGGTGGAAGAGGTGGAGGGATGGAAAGAATTTGGAACTGAAAATAAAAATAAATTATTTTGCTTTTTTTTTTTTTTCGGTGAGGCAATTGGAGTTAAGTGACTTGCCCAGGGTCACACAGCTAATGCATGTTATGTGTCTGAGGCCAAATTTGAATTCAGGTCTTCCTGACTCCAGGGCCGGTACTCTATCCACTGCGCCACCTAGCTGCCCCATAAAATTTTAAACATACAACAAATGTAAACATATCTATATCTGTCTACATATTTCTATATAAATTTTGTTGGTGCCTTTTCTTTTTACATTAGTCAGTTCTAGTTAACCCCTGCTACCCT